TCTCCAGGAGGCCACGGAAAAGTATCTGTGAAAGTTCCTACCTCAAACTAGAAAACTCTTAGAAGAAAACGGAGGAGGAAGCTTCGTGATGTTGAATTTGGCAACGATTTCTCGATTATGACAGCAAAGGCACAGGCAACAAAAGAAAAAGTAGGTAAGCTGGACTTCATGTGCATTTTTGAATATCAAAATATTTGTAAATTACATATCCAATAAGGTATTAACATCTAGAATATATAGAAATGTCCTAAAACTCAAAAATAATTTAAAAAAAAACGTTCAAAAAATTGCCAAAGGACATGAATAGACATTTCTCCAAATAAGATATGTAAACGGGCAATAAGCACGTGAAAAGATGCTCAGCGTTGCTCATCACTAGAAAAACACAAACCAAATCCACACTGAGATGGCCATATGCGCGGCTCATGCCTGAATCCCAGCACTTTGGGAGGCCAAGGCCGGCAGATCACCTGAGGTCAGGAGTTCAAGACTCACCTGGCCAACCTGGTGAAACCCCGTCTCTACTAAAAATATAAAAATTAGCTGGGAATGGTGGCGCACACCTGTAATCCCAGCTACTTGGGAGGGTGAGGCAGAAGAATTGCTTGAACCTGGGAGGTGGAGGTCGCAGTGAGCTGAGATCACACCACTGTACTCCAGTCTGGGTGACAGAGCCAGATTCTGTCTCAAAAAAAAAAAAAAAGTTAAACATAGAATGATCACACCACAGGACCCACCACCCCACTTCCAGGTAAGTACCAGAAGAACTGAAAGCAGGCTCTTAAAGAGAAACGTGTCCATTCATGTCCCGAGCAGCATTCCGCTCAGCAGCTCGAATGTGGAAGCAGCCCACATGTCCATCAGCAGGCAAGCAGAGAAGCTGGATGTGGCCCCCGCACACCAGGGGCATCACTCAGCCTTGAGAGGAAAGGAAACCCTGACGCCGGCCACCCCATACATGAACCTCCAGGACACGGTGCTGAGTGAAAGCAGCCACTCACAGCACAGCAAGTACCATGTGCTTCCACGGATGTGAGGCGCCCAGAGGCGTCAGAGTCACAGACAGAAAGCAGAATGGCCCCGTGGCCCGGGCGGGGAACGGGAGCGAGTGTGGAATGGAGACAGAGGCTTGGTTTTGCAAGATGAAGCAGCTCTGGAGAGGGAGGTGTGACCGCTGCACAGCCGTGAGAACAGACTGAGCTACCCACACCTGCCGGGATTCCGATGGAAAGTCTGTGCTATGTGCGTGGTACTGTAATGTTTGTGAAAGGCATGTGTGGCATGATCTCATTTTGGCAAAAAAAACTAAAAATGAAAACAAGTTACCCATAACCGTCCTGATAAATCCTCATGGCAAGGTGCAAACGAAGGGGCATTCCCTACTGTGGGGAAATGTACAGCTGCCAGAAATGTACAGAAGGCATGGCAGAAGCAGTCCGGTTCAGGAACAGGCTGGGACGCGCCACTAAACCTGGCCAAGGCGATGAGGAAATGGGAAACAGATTTAAAATACTGGAAAGGGGCCGGGCACGGGGGCTCATGCCCGTAATCCCAGCACTTTGGGAGGCCGAGGCGGGCAGAACACCTGAGGTCAGGAGTTCAGGGCTCGTCTGAACAACGTGTGAAACCCCCTCTCTACTAAAAATACAAGAATTAGCCGGGCCTGGTGGTGCATGCCTGTAATCCCGGCCGCCCAGGAGGCTGAGGCAGGAGAAGCGCTTGAACCTGGGTGTTAGGGGTTGCAGTGAGCCGAGATCACACCACGGCACTCCAGCCTGGGTGACAACAGGGAGACTATGTCTCAAAAAAAATTGGAAAGCAAGAGACAAATCCGGATCAGATGGAGAACTCTTAATCTAAAAGAAATTCAGTCCATTAAACAGACTACAAAACCCCTGCAGAAGTCACCGTAGGAAGATGGAAGAGAATACACGCAGAGATGCCGTAGAGATGACAAGCAAATCTGACTCTGCCATGTCAGTGTTTTCATAACTGGCTGATGGCACACAGATAATAAAAACGTGTTCACCACTGTGGTAATTTGGTGTGCTTTGTCTGTTTATGATGTTGACCGTGTTTATGAAGGCCAGACACTTCCTCTTGTGACACTGATGAAATTCGTCATGGACCTGGAACACCTAAGTGCGTGATTCATGTTTGCACAGGGGAGGGAGGGCCTCTCGTTTGGTCTCCTGGGGAGTGAGCCTCATAAGGCCTGTGGCTGATGGTGCTTCTCAGCTGGGCCTGAGGCTGGAGAAGCAGCCTGTGAGGGCACCCCATGCCTTGATGATGCCCAGTGCACAGTCCATGAGCACCCAGCTTCCACAGCGCGCTGGGCAGACAGCCCCCAGTGGCTGAAGGTGCTCATGGCCAGAACCAGAGGCGTTAGCACCTCCACTGAAGCACGTCCAGGGGCTCTTTTGGGCCCCCCCGCGGGGCACAGCACGTTTCCTTCCATAAACTAGGGTTCCTAACTACCCACAGAGGATGGTTTTCCTATCACAGAGCCCCCACGGTCCCGTGGTTTGTTAAACAGCTCAGTGACAGGACAGCAAGTCCAAATGCCCAGCGGCCAATTCCAGGACCCCGCTTCGGGGGACATGTGGTGGTTTACGGAGTGCAGGTCAGCCTTCGCCAGGGCAGGAGCCAACACAGTCAGGTCGGCTGGTCAAGCGGAAGGACGGCTTCCCTGGAGAAATGCTGGGTCGCAGAGGACAGGTGGGAGGGGCTCGGAGGGGCGTGCTGGGGCTGGGAGTGAAGACTGGCCGGTCTGGACTTCGGGGCGTGGCGTAAGGTAAGCCCCTGCCCGGGTTCCCCAGCAGGGCAGGGATGGCTGTGTGCCTCAGATTTGCAGTGCGTCAGCTGAAGGGGAGGGCAGGGGAGACGGAGACGGAGAGGGACGGACTCGGGGCAGTGGGGCGGGTCCTCGGAAGTGGTGAGTCCAGACGAGGGCACAGGGTGTCCTTGTACTGCTTTTTTGTGAGTCTGAGAAGAACTAAAATGAGTAAATAAACAAACAGTAAACAAATAACTAAATACAAGCCCAGTCAGCTGATTTCAGGTCTGGGGTGAGAATATAGGCAGTGTGGGGGTTCAGCTGGATGCATCAGAAAGCCAGGCCGGTGTCAGGGCCAGGGGCGCGGCTCCCACAGCCAGAGATGACACCATTGAAGGGAGGTTTAAAAAAGGGAGACCTTCCCTTCCCACATATCTAGTGGAAGCAGACAGCATTGCTGGGGGTAGGCAGCACGATCAGGTTCCCTAACCCTGGACAAGGCACTGGGGAGCCCCCAACCCCAGACAAGGCACTGGGGAGCCCCCAACCCCAGACAAGGTACTGGGGAGCCCCCAACCCCGGACAAGGCACTGTGGAGCCCCCAACCCCGGACAAGGCACTGGGGAGCCCCCAACCCCGGACAAGGCGCTGGGGAACCCCAACCCCGGACAAGGCGCTGGGGAGCCCCCAACCCCGGACAAGGTGCTGGGGAACCCCAACCCCGGACAAGGCGCTGGGGAGCCCCTAAACCCAGACAAGGCGCTAGGGAGCCCCCAACCCCGGACAAGGTGCTATTCCGTAAGTTCAAAGACACGTGTTCCACTCAGCATCCACACGTAACAACGCTGCCCTCTGAGCTGCCTCTCCCGTCTCTGTCCCCAACTCTGTTCTCTCCCGTCTCCATGTCCTTTCTCTATTCACACAGGCTTAGATGAACAAGACACTGGTCGTCAATCCTGGGCCCGGTGAAGCCCCAAAAGCACATCAGGAAGCCCCTCTCACCCCCAAGTCCAGAAATGGTGCCAACTGTCTCCACGCCCTGTGGCACTCTGTCCTCTGCCGCCTACGGGAAGCCGACCGCTGCGTCCTCACTCGGTCTGTCCCAGACAGAACAGGGTCTTAGGAAGAAGGACAGGAGCCTTCAAATGGGATGTGGAAACCACGTCTCAAGATAAGAGTCTCATTTCTTTTAAGTAAAGCGACCCTTTTGTGATGTCAAACAGCCTTTCACGCCTGAGTCTCACCCCCGCTTCCCCCTCTTTCTCTCAGACAAGCGAGAACCGAAGTGTGTGCCGAGATGGATGGAGGATAGCAAGGCCGTGGGTGGTGCCCACAGTGGGCACAGGAAGGGCTGGCACGGGCGGGGGGAGACCCTGCTTGAGCCAAAGCTGCTGAGAGTTCTTGGAGCCGCGTGGGAGGGACCCTTGACGGATGCGCCCAGGGCTCAGCAAAGGTGCCTCCAGAGCAGGCAGGACTTCCCGAGCGTGAGTTTCCACCCAAGAAGCCACTCCTATAGCCAGGGGACAACGCCCCAAACCCCACCCAGCAGCTGCATGGACCATTGAGAAGGCCAGGACTGGGCAGCCGGACCAAGGTGAGGCCTACATCTATCTCCAGTCCTGTCTTCACTGAGACAGACTTCCGGGAATTGCTGTCTGGCCTGCTGAGTGGATTTGCCACGTATTTTTGAAGCCCTGTAAAATATTAAAAGCAGACACTATTTTGTCCTTTCTCCACCATTTAGACCACCAAGGCTTGGAGAACACAGAGCGAATGAATGAGAGCCAGGCAGAGGGGTTCATGAGGGCCCCGCCCCCAGACCCCACATTTCTCCGCTCAGAGCCAGCCCACCTCACACACCGTCTCCCTTGCCCCACCCAGAGACAACCCAACCTCCCGCCCCCTCACCAGGGCCAGCCCACCCTCAGGCTGTTCTCCTGCTCTCCTGCTCTCCTGCCCCCTCACTAGGGCCAGCCTGTCCCCCAACCTAGGGCCATCCCGCCATCCCACCCCTCACCAGGGCCAGCCCACCTTCATACTCCTCCCTCAGAGGGCCACCCACCCTCCCGCCTCTCACCAAGGCCAGCCTGTTCCCCCACTCCCTCACCAGGGCCACCCTGCCCTCCTGCCCCTCACCAAGACTAGCCTGTCCCACCACTCCCTCCACCAAGGCCACCCATCCTCCCGCCCCTCACCAAGGCCACCCTGCCCTCCTGCCCCTCACCAGGGCCAGCCTGCTGCCCATGCTCCTCTGGTGCTCATACGTCAGGTCACAGGCGACACACAGGGCGCTGCCCAAGCCTTTGGTCAGGGGCAGGTTGGGGTCAGCTCCCTGGGTCAAGAGCTCCTTCACAACCTGAACAAACACAGACAGGCTCATGAGTGGCCACCATGTCACCTCCCCTGACAGAGGGGAAGTCCCCAGAGCTGGGCCACTCCAGAACTAACCCCTGAAAACTGGGGCCTCACGAAGGCCACCGCTGGCCCTTCCCATGGACCCTGCCCACCGTGGCTCCCATAGAGGATGACGCTGGGCACCAAGCGGCCCTATGCTGGTCCGTTAGGGAGGATCTGGAACTCCACCCAGGTGGGTCAGTTCCAGCACTTTCTCTGTCCCCTGACAAGATAGGGATTCTCCAGTGTGGTCCTAGCTCCCAGGCATAGCCAGGCCCAGGGGCCAGTCCCCAGCACAGGGTTGGGGGGCTCATCTGCCTGGTGCCCAGGTCATCCACCTCTGCCCGGGGCACCAGTGTTGTGAGCACTCAGCCAGACGCAGAATGAGGCGCATCTCCATCCTCCTACTGTGTCCCCAGCCACCAGCTCAGATTGCACCCAGGAAGCAGGACAGCCAGACACGTGTCCTTGGTGTGTGGCTCACACAAGCTTCAGAACAGAGCACTCTTCCCTCCACATCCCTGCCTCTAACAGGGCCTAGCCCTGAGCAGGGGCCCCATTCGGCTTACTGAATGGATGACTCTTGCAGGAGAGAAGGAAGCAGGGAACAGAGATGCTGCCTCTGCAGAAGCCCCTGGGAGCCCCATTCTACGTCACCAATGCCTTCCACTTCTGCAGACCTCTGCTGAAATGTCACCTCATCTGAGAAGCACTTCATGCCACCCTGCTAAAGTGCCTACCTTCCCACAAGTCTCCTCCCTTCACCAAGCTTTATTTCCTTCAGAAGCCTTGTCATTTCCTGAAATTGTGTTACATACTAGTCTATGGTCTGGCTCCCCCAACTAGAATATAGGATCCTTGATGGCAGAGACTCTGTTTAATTCAATACCTAGTGCCTAGAATGGTGCCTGCCAGGTACAGACAGATGCCCAGTAAATAACATTTAAATAACAGATGAATGGATGAACAGTCAGATGGTAGAGCCCTCCATCTGGGTGAATGAAGGATGATGTCTGGGTGGGTGGATGGGTGGACGGATAGATGGATGGGTGCATGCATGAACAGATGAATGAATGGATGAGTGAACAGTTGAGTGGATGAATGAGTGGATAGGTAGCGGGGTGGATACATGAGTGCTTGGTTAAAAGGATGGATGTATAGATGGATGGATAAGAGGATGAATAAGTGGGTGGGTAGCCGGGTGGACAGATGGGCAGTTGGGTGTGTGAACGGGTGAATGGAGGATGCACGGACGGGTGAGTAGATGGATAAGTGGATGGGAAGACGAGTGGGTAGATGGATGGTTGGATAGAAGAGTGGGTGGATGAGTGTATGGACGGGTAGACAGCTGAGTGGATGGGTAGTTGGGTGGACAGATGGGTGGGCAGATGGACGGATGGATGGATAAATGGACGGATGGACGGATGGACAGACGGACGGATGGTTAGATGGACGGACGGACAGACGGACGGACGGACGGATGGACGGACAGATGGATGGATGGACGGATGGATGGATGGATGGATGGATGGACAGACGGATGAACAGACGGATGGATGGATGGATGGACAGACGGATGGATGGATGGATGGATGGATGGATGGATGGATGGATGGACGGA